ACAGACACCAACTTTCTGAGCAAAAAAGCGTGGGCTGTAAAGAGGAGGTCTTTGCACTTTGCTTGGGTCCAAGCGGTGGGAAGAGCAGTCTCCAAAGGTAAGAGGGCCGGGGTTTCAAGGGAGCCGGGAGTTAGGGCATGAGAGGAGTGACAGAACAAGAAGGGAATGCCTAGGGGTGAGGCTGCGGCTGGAGGTGGGGAGGGCTCAGAGAAGCCAGACATGCTGCTCTTCCTCGGTGGGTCACAGGCATTGGCCCAGGCCTGCCCGAGGCCCTGGCAGGTCCAGCTTCTCTCCAAGGTGCTGACCATCTGACAGCGGGGTTGGGGGGAGACCCATGTGTCCCTGCCCACTCAGCATGGTCCCTGGTCAGGACCTAACCACACCTCTGCTGGCCCCGGACATTAAAGGCAGCCCAGAGTTTGTGTGCAAGGACAGAGGAGCAGCAGCCAGGTCAGTGGGGTACATGCGAAGCCAGAGGGGCTGCACCTCGACTCCCTTAGGTAAAGTCAGATTGGCCGGGGACTGAGGGGCAGACCCCATCACCACCTGCCCACCCACTCTCCTTAGTGGTCTTCTCACTGGGTCTGCAGCCAGGATCGTGGGTTCAGGACTTACTGAGGCTGGGCCCAGGTTTGAAGGGGGGGCCTGGGCTATATTTACCTATGCACAGTCCCCCCAGACCTGGGAGCCGGAACGAAACAGGATGTGGAAAACAGACCCCAACCTCCTGATGGCTCAGGGCCTCGGTGAAGACCTCTGGGAACACCACTCCCTGAGGCTGTGGTTTCAGGAGCTGTCGAAGATCTTTTTGACTAGTGCCATGTGGGGTGGGACAGGAGAACAGGCAGTGTGGGCAGAGGCAGGAAACAGCTGCCTTAAATCTCACTCTTTGGGGGTCCCTCTGCCCTCTCTCCTTGATCTTCCTCCTGGGGGGGAAGGGAGGTGCTAGATGAAAGGGGCCCAGGGTGGCTAATCCCTCTGGCTGCCACCCTGCAGATCAGGGCCTTGGCCTCCACCAGCTGTTACCAAACTTTCTTTGTCTGGAATTGGAGCCAGAGCCTGTGGGGCAGGAGGGAGCCAGGACGCTGAGCTTTAATCCAGACACGTGGCTTAATCCAGAAAAGATCAGCTCGAGGTTTGAGAGCTGGAGGCATTGCTCAGGAGACCGGCAGCCCCTGGGGCCCAGCCAGAGGAGGCTGTAGGGAAGGTTGAGCCTGCCATCTGGGCCTGGCAGACACAGGTCTTGTCCCAGGACCCTAGGCCTGTGGAGGAGTGGCCTGAGGGTCAGCAGACCTCTAGTGGGCTCCTGGCTCTGCTGTGTGACTACGGGCCTGTCCGTGACACTCTCTGCACCTCATTTTCCCCAATGCATTTGTGTCTCCGTGGGCCGATACCCCCTTGTGAATGCAATCAAGGCTGAATTGCATGAGATGCAGAGAGCTTCGGAGCCAGAGGCAGCTGTGAGGGAGGGCTTCCTGGGAATGGAGAGTTTAAGCTGAACTGGATGAGAAGGAAAGGGCATCGAGGCAAAGGGACAAAGAACACAAGAGAACTTAGCCACATTGCACCCACAGCCAGGGGCCAGGGGGTAAATGCCATTCTCATTAGAGCCTGGATCTGGTTCAGAGACTGCCTCTACCAGTGAGTGAAGCCTTCCCCTCAGAGTTTGACTGTTCCAGTCTATAAAACAATCATATAACATGGGGTCCCTTTCACTCTGATTATGTGTGCCCACTCTGGTGGGTACAGGGGTGGGCGCCTGCCATTTAGATTCAGCACGGCAGGCAATGGGCAGGCATGGAATGTTCTTGAGCACAGAGATGCCTGATGAAAGGAAGTTGGAGGGGGACGAGTGGGCGGCGTGAGCAGGTGGGAATAGACTGGAGGGTCACGTTGTCCAGTTAGGGAGTAGGATCCTGGGACACTGGTGACACCGAGGCGTGAGCCTATGCGTGGTCAGCTGGTGACTGTGGGCCAGCGCTGAGCCTCGCCGTCCACATCTTTAAAAAGGGCTCTCGCACCGACATCATCCTGGCTGTGGGAGGTGAAGAGGGTAAAGAGCAGGAATGCTCGGAGAGGAGTTGGTCTCTCTTCCTGCTGGAGTCCTGCCCCAGAGCCTGGAGAAGATGCCAGAATTGCAGCCTGAGCACACCAGTCCCTGGCCCCCTGGCCTGGGACCCCAAGACCTGGGCCGCTGGTGTCACATTACTCTCGCACACCTGGACATTTCCTCTCCTGCCAGTCAATCATTAACTGTTTTTCTCCAGGGAAGTGTTGGATCTGGGGCCAAGCCTTGGTAGAGACCAAGTTCCTTGGCATTTAGAGGCAGGTGACAGGGAGCTGGAATGTGGGGTGTGGAAGAGAAGGAGGGAATTCTCTGCGGTGAAGGAGCCCTGGGCCAGGCGTCCAAAGACCTGGATCTGTGTCGCTTAACCCTCGACACCTTAACACCCCTGCCCGCAAAATAGGAATTGGAATCAGGCCCACGATGCTTTTCCCAGGAAGGGGGTGGACACAAGGGGCTAGAAGCCCGGTGGCTCACCTGATAGACGGGGCAGGGGCGCGTCCTCACATCCTCACTGGCAAGCAATGCCACCTGCCCTGCCCGTTGTTCCTCCCGACCCCCTCGCACGACCATGCCCCACAGCAGCTGCCCTCGTCCTACCTGTGGCCCAGGCCAAGCAAACAGGAGGGCCACAGGGGAAGCAAGTTCTCCTGCTTCTTGGAAAAGCTTCTGTCTCCCTGGCATATGGCCCAGGGAGTTGGCAGAGACTGTCCTAACGTGGCAGGCGTGAACGTTCTGGGGACGTGGATGGGGCGGGAGGCAGGCAGCGGTGGTGAAGGGGGTTGGGGGCTGAGAGGGGCTCTCTAAAGGTGGGGCCACCTAGGAGGCAGGGTGTGGGCACTGGCCGGGGTGGGGACCAGGGACAGAGCGGGCTGTTGGCGCTGCCTGGGTAAATAATGTAGGCCCATAGCACACACGTGTGTTTGCACAGAGGGACTTGACATGATTCCAGGCCTGCCCTCTGTCCCCCGCAAAACCCGCCCCCCCTCCGTCTCTGCCCACCCCACCCCAGCCTGACCTTTCCTTCTTTGTCACTTAAAGGAACCCTTGAAAGGGAGAGCGAATCAAAGGGAACACCCTTCTCTCGTGCTGGCATGCTCTCCACCACAGGAAACGGCAGGCTGCCATGTAAAGTTGAGGAGGTTGGGCACTGCACAAGACAGGAAGGAGGGAGCGGAGACACCCCTAACTTCCACTCACCAGCCTAGGCCACCAGAGAGAAAAGGTGGTTATCTGAGAGAACGGCCACGTGGAGTGGGCTAACTGCCGCCCTCGAGAAGCCAGAGGTGACTTCTAGACCTTTCCCTGGCCCACTGCAGGTGCAGTGGCCACTGCACAAGAGGCCAGGCAGGCCAGCCCCACAGGTGACTAGAGGTGGTTTCAGGTGGCCACCCAGTGTGGCACAGAACTGCCACTGAGATCCACCATCCTTTGATTAAATTCTTCCCCTTGTCCTGGCCAGATGCCTTTTAAAAGCAGCGATTCTCAAGCGTGAACATCATGCTTGGGTGCATTAGCGTCACCCAAAGTGCCTGTTGGGGGGCCCTCCTGGGCCTCTCCTGGAGGGCCTGCCTGGGTAGTTCTGAGCTGAACCTAGGAATTCGCATTTCTCACAGATGCCCAGGAGGTGCCGATACGCTGGCCTGGGCACCACACGTGGAGAAGCCCCTGCTGTGAAATACACCTGCTCCTTCCTCTTCGCCCGTCCCCTGTGCTGTTGGGAACGTCTTTCACCCACTCTGTCCTAACTCATTCTTGAGTCTCTGGGTCCACAATCACACACACCCCCATGTGGTCTGTACAAGTCTCAAGGCTCTGCCTCACCCAAACCTGAACTCCAACTTGGGGTTCAGAGTAGAAGACCCAAGCAAAGCAGAGCCTGGGTGACCAATGGCAGGGAGGTGTCTAGTTCCTGGCGTTGGGGGCCTCTTAGTGCTCCTTGGGGGGCTAGGCAGCAGGGAGAAGTGTTGGTGAGCTCTCTTGTTCCCCCAAGCTAAGGCCTCACCCCCACCCCACCCCCACGAGAAGCACCACACAACTCTGAGAGAACAACCTGAGGGCTTTACAGTGGTACCACCTTGGTCAGCTGCATGTCCTTCTGGGGCATGAGGAGAGTGGGGAGGTGTCTGGGAGCTGGGAGGGCCCTGGGGCAGCACCTTTTGAGGGAAAACAAAGTGGGGGGCACCAGGACCCCAGCTCCGTGTGGCAGGCGTGGCCAGCACAACTGTAAGTTGTTGCTCAGTGGCTGCCTCAGTAGCTTTACACGAGGAATTCAGTCACACCCCTCCCCACCTGGCCCTGTGGCGGGGAGGAGGCCCTTCTCCCCAGCTTGTTGGGGTTCGAGGCTGTCACACCCACCTGCTTCTCGCTCCCTTCACCTATTGGTGAAGATGACGGTGGCCTTCTCTCCTCCCCACCCGCTTCGTGGGCAGAATGAAAGGAGACAAGCTTTGCTATGGCAGGAAACTAGGCTAGCACCACCACCACCACCGGCCAGCGCCCTTCGAGTGTGGGTCAGCCCAGGGACAGGGGCCTCGACACTGCAGGTGTCTCGCCCTGCCTCAATGGGTTCATCAGTCAAATGGGGCTAATCACACTTTCCATCGTGAAGACTGAATGAAGTCAAGCACCGCAGAGGCTGTTTGAAGCACGCCGTCCTGGTCAAGACTCTCTGCTCCCAGCTGCCCATGCGGTTCCTTGGAGAGAGGGAGCCGTCTGTTGGCAGTCCCACCCCCTCTCCCACCACTGTCTTTCCCAGCCAGAAGGCCCGTCTGCCGGGCCCTGTCCTAGCTACCCAGTGACCCAGAAGCCCCAACTCTATCCCAGGCCCAGCCACTGCCCACGGGGCCCCTCATCCCTGTAACCAGCTTAGCGGCCCCCAGGGGGACGGGGAAGCTGCCAGAACCTGACTCTCCTCCCTTTTTCACTTCTGCAGACACAGCCGTCACCCCGAGCAGCAGCGGCATGGGCAGCGCCAGCCCGGGCCTGAGCAGCGTGCCCCCCAGCCGCCTCTTGCTGCCCCCCGACACCTTGTTGCGGACAGGCCTGGAAAAGGTGGTGGGGGGCTCGGTGGGACCCGAGAGACAGGACTGGAGCCCCAGCCCCCCCGCCACGCCCGAGCAGGGCCTCTCTGCCTTCTACCTCTCCTACTTTGACATGCTGTATCCTGAGGACAGCGGCTGGGCAGCCAAGGGCCCGGCCAGCGCTCGGGAGGAGCCGCCCGAGGAGCCCGAGCAGTGCCCGGTCATCGACAGCCAAGCCCCAGGGGGCAGCCTGGACTTGGCACCAGGGGGGCTGGCCCTGGAGGAACACTCGCTGGAGCAGGTGCAGTCCATGGTGGTGGGTGAGGTGCTCAAGGACATCGAGACCGCCTGCAAGCTGCTCAACATCACTGCAGGTGAGTCCCTGCACCCACTGCGGGAGGTGCAGGCAGGACAGGGGTGGGGGTGCGGTGGGGGTCCCAGGGGCCAGCTGGGCTCTGCCTGCGGCTCTTCAGCCACTCCGGCCCTGCCCCAGGTAGCCCCAGGATGCCTGGGTAGCCTCTGGTGCGTCTGGTTAACCCCTAGCAGACGGCAGAGGTGAGCCTGGGCTGGGAGGTGCCAGCCTCCTCTGCACCCAAAGGCCGCAGCCCAGTGCCCCCACTGGGGAGGGGCTGGATGGAGCAAATCTGAGCGTGGCACCACCCGGCCCACCCTCAGACGCGTGACCACTCTCCTCCTTCACTTTGCTCCAGCCACACCTGCCTCCCTGCTGTTGCCTGAACAATCGCACCTTCACATCTGATGGTTGTTCCACCTTAGCGCCCTGTTCCCCACATCTGTCCTCACCCCTCCCCTCCTCTAAGTCCTGACTCAGATCGCACCTTCTTGATCACTGACCGGGGAATGGAATCCTCTGGCCATCGCCCCACCTCTTCTTTGCCCGACCCGTTTTGTTTCTCTTGCAGCACTTGACGCTGTCAGTGAGCTGATGTTTGATCTTGTTCACTGTCCGTCTCTCCTGGAATGTGTACAGTCCGAGGAAGGGGGTTCCCATCTGTTTTGCTGACTGCTACACCCCCAGTTTTTAGGATCACATAATAGATGCTCAAAAAAGTAGAACTTAATATGCCTGGGCCCTGTCCTAGCCCTGGGGAATTGAGTGGAGACCACAGCCCAGTAGACGCTCCATTCGTGAGGCTGGAATGACATGGAGGGAAACAGGTTGCGAGTAGGTAGATGAGTGTGTCGCTGGCCGGCCGAGGGGAGGAGGGCTCTGATACAGAGGGGCCCTTGGGCGCCGGGCACACACGTCTGCTAGGGCGGGGAGAATGGAGCTATGAAGCTAATGCAGTGGGCCAAGAGGCTCTGGGTCCCCAGCCCCGTCTCAGCATTCTCCAGCTGTAGGCAAGCCTGACCCATGTCCCTGGTCTGTGGACCTTGGGGCTCAAACATGCTGCTCTCTGTGCTGCTAGCACAAGGGGGGTCTTCACCCAGCCCTCAGGCCCAGCGCCCTCAGGTCATCTGGGCCTGGTTCCTGCTGCCCAGCAGTCCTGGCTTATATCCCCTTTGAGACAGCTCCAGGCCCATGCCCTGTCCCGCCCAACGCACACACCACGAACTTCCCACAGTGCCACCACTCCCACACCAGGCTGGGGAGGGGCCTGTCCTCCGAACAATGGGGACAGAAACAAATGGCTTTGACCCCGGGGAGGAAAATGGATTTATTGAGGGCAGCCCAGCCTGCAGGTCACCCAGTCGGGGCACCAGCTCAGGCCACAGTGTTCATTGGCAGGTCCCATTGTGACCATGCCCACAGACTTGACCCCCACCTGTGTGCCCTGTCCCAGCTCCCCATGGGCACACCTGGCCTCTGACGCTGCCCTGTGCCCGACCATTCACTCATTTAAGCCCCTGGGGAACTGGGCCGCCAGCTCAGAGGTGCCCTGCCCTAGCCCAGCCCTTTGTTAGGTGTTGGACGAGGGGAAAGGCCTCCATACCTCAGTTTCCTCATCTGTCAAATGTGGTAGTGGGGTTGTAGGATTGACTCCTGGTTGGGTTTTTTTTTTTTTTTTTTTCAGTTTCTTGATGGCTCAGGGGAGGGAGGGTGAAGAAAGACGCACTCAGGGAGAGAAACTCAGCTGTCTCTAGTTTAATGTCACCGTCACCTCCAAAGCGGGGGCTTCCCAAAAGATCCTTTGGAGGGGTTGATAGGGTCTGCAGAAGGGCTAAAAGTTGGAATGAGGTAGGGGACACAGAGGCCTTGTGGCTATTGTTCCCTGACTCAGGGCCCAGACTTTTCTCTCCCCCACTCCCCTTCTCCTTGACCCTGGAGCCCTCAGTCCTAGGCCACAAGTTCCCAAGAGCACCCCACCAGGGCACAGCAGGTCCTGTCCAGGGCAGTGCCAGAGCTGATGAGTGTCTTTTGCCCAGACCCTGTGGACTGGAGCCCTGGCAACGTGCAGAAGTGGCTTCTGTGGACAGAGCACCAGTACCGGCTGCCCCCGGTGGGCAAGGCCTTCCAGGAGCTGGGGGGCAAGGAGCTGTGTGCCATGTCGGAGGAGCAGTTTCGCCAGCGCTCGCCCCTGGGTGGGGACGTGCTGCACGCCCACCTGGACATCTGGAAATCAGGTGGGACCTGGGGGGGGGGGGGGGATCGGCCCTTCTGGACTCCAAGTCAGGGACACTAAGGTGGGCGGGTGGGGCGAGGCGGGAGGCCAGCGGGAGGTTACGGTCTGCAGGCTCCCTGTCTGGGCTCTGTTCTGAGTCCCAGCCCCAGGGGCAGCTGCCCGCTTGGGTCCTGGGTGAACCCAGCATCCGTGACCCCCTCCCCACCCCGGTCAAGCTCTGTTTCCAGAACTTAAGACAGAGCATCTGGGAAGCTGGAGCTTGAACTGTGATGCTCGGAGATATCAGTGCTATGGGGACTGTGAAGTCCTCTGAAATTTCTTGGTTTAGTGCTGTTTTTCATTAAGGAAGTAACGAGCTGATACCATCAATGAAAAGATCATAGTGAAAAAGACAATACCATGAAAAGTTAGTCTCAACCCACTCCCAACCCCCAGTCATCCAGTCCCCTTTCTCTAGAGGCTGTCACCCGTTTCTAGGGTACCTTGCTGGGGTCCCCTTGCTAGGGTACCATATCTGTGCCTATACAAGCAAATGTGTTTGTCATTTTACCTTCTTTCGACATCACCAGTGTGGGTACCCCACTGTTTGGCACTAACAGTATATCGGGGGCCTCGTTCCCCCTCGCTATCTATGTAGATGCCACCTCCTTAATGTTTAAATCATCTCAACCTCCTTGAGCACCTACTGTGCCCTGCAAAGAGCCGTTGCTTTGGAGGACCCCATGCTAGCCCAGGGAGTAAGATCCCCACCCTGAGGAGTCTCAGGACCCAGGAATGGCCCAGTCCATAACCAGTGTCCTGCCCAGCCCTGTGGCTAGCAAGGGCAGTGGCTAGTGCCAGGCTGAGAACCACATGGTGACATGTGCAGAAGCTGGCTGCCTCTGCCACCTCCTCACTGTCCCTGAATCTGCAGGTGGAAAGACAGGGAGGGGCCAGGTGGGAGGTAGGAGGGTGGACGGGCTTGCGAACCTGGACCTGGAGGGCAGACAGCATGTGACTGTGATGGGCACTGAGTAAGGCGCTGTGCAGGCTTCCTGCCCTGGGACCCCGCTCGCTCGCCCTGGGAGAGAATGTCCTGGCTCACGTCATAGGGGAGGAGGGGGAGACCGGGCAAGACTCCGGCTTCCAGTCTCCTCACCTAGCAGCAGGGAGCTGTGTGCAGGACCTCTGAGGCCCTCCCAGTTCTGAAATGCTCAAATTCCTTCCAGGAAAAGGCTCCTTTAAAAACAAAACTGTCTTCTCTGACTGGAGGGAAAGAGGGGACCACCAGGGAAACCCCCAGCCACAGAGGGGCTTTTCCATCCCCACAGTCCCACCCAAACTCCCTCCTCCGCCCTGAGTGTCTCCTGGGTCCCCAAACCTCTTCTCCTTGCCCCACAGCGGCCTGGATGAAAGAGAGGACTTCCCCCGGGGAGATTCACTATTGTGGTGAGTTGGGGCAGGGCAGGGAGGGGTCCGGGGCTGCCGGAGGGAGGGGCGCCCCACTCACTGCCACTCTCCCTGACTGCCCAGCCTCCACCAGCGAGGAGAGCTGGACCGACAGCGAGGTGGACTCGTCCTGCTCTGGGCAGCCCATCCACCTGTGGCAGTTCCTCAAGGAGCTGCTGCTCAAGCCCCACAGCTACGGCCGCTTCATCCGGTGGCTCAACAAGGAGAAGGGTGAGCGGGGCGCTCTGTGAGGGGCACGTGGGCTGGGGAGCGGGACCGCCTGGCCTTCGCTGGGTGACCAGTCTGGCAAGGAGGGCGGGGCTGCGCAGGGCGGTGGAGACGCCCCTCCACCCGGCTTCATGTCTGAAAGCCAGACGAGCCTCTATGGGGAGCAGCCCCAGGGCCAGGTACCAGGAGGGTCCGCGTCTGACCCCAGCCAGGAGCTGCCTGGCGCTATCCTGAGACGCAGGGACCAAAGCTGCGGAGAAGCGGACGCGGACTTGTTCCCCAGCATCATAGCTGCACAGGGGAGACGGACGGTGTCCAACGGGAAATACAGGGTCCACGTGAGCCACCGTCACGTGTCCATTAAAGACATTTCGGTGGAGGATGGGCAGGTATGTGGGGGGCCAGGTCGGCCTGCCGCGTAGCCTAGGTGTGTGCTGGGCTCGCCGGCCGGGTCTCCCCGGTCACACTCATTCTGGCATGGACGACGACTAAACCTCCTAGTGATGCTTTTCGCAGGACATCCAGGGCCTTAAACCCCGTGTGACTGACATCTTAGATTCTCAAGTAGCCCCGTTAAAAACATTTTCTAAGCAGGTGGATTTAATTTTAATAATACTTTTATGTAACCCAGTGTCATAATTTATTATATTAGAAATTCATTTATGAAATATTCTCTAAATTACACGTATATTATTAAAATCACATCCTAAAATTAGGTAAAATTGAATATTAAAATAGTGATATAGACATTATTAATAAAATACTTAATAGTAAGTCATCCTTTCACATCTCAGTTCAGACTTGCCACATTTCAAGAGCTCAAAGCCATGCAGGCTAGTTGCTGCTTCATTGGGACTAGATGCTGTGAAAAAACCCTAGAGCCAAGTCCTGGACTCTAGACTCCTTCTGATCATTAGTGCCTGTGGGTGCCCAGACCTCAGTCTTCTTACTGCAAAATGGACTAGATCCAATCATCTACCAAACCTTCATTGAGTATCTCCTGGTTGCTCAGCTCACATTTACAAAGAATTAGTGTCCTGAAGGTGTGGCAGAGGATTCAGTTGCACCCTGTCCTCTAGAGACCTGTAGCCTTGTAGGAGAAATAGTGAAATGAACTGGTGCAGAGCATATTAGGGCCATTGAGGCAACTGTGCCTGCAGCCAGGGGGACTTCATGGAGGAGGTGACTCTGGGTTTGAGCATAGAGAACCAGAAGGGGTTGGAGGGGTGTAAAGGAAAAGCTACCTCTGCAAGGTACGGTAACGGTGTTTATCTATTTGAGACATAGAGTAAGCCAGTCCTCTGGGCAGATAGATGTCCTATGTAGAGTCCTAGGGAAGGGAGGTCGGAGAGAGCGGGGTGGTCTGGGAAGCCTTCCTGGAAGGGGATGCTATCCTGTCCTCCACAGCGGGGTTAGAATGAGAAATAGAGATATTAACAGTGCAATGACTCATTCCAAGGGGCACTTCCGTCTGGCTCTGCTCTGAGTGCCTTTTCGGTGGTTTCTTACAGATAGCGTAAATGGAGATTACATAGATAGACTGTAAAAACAAGAGATGAAAAAGCTAGGATTCAGACCGGGGTTGCCTGGCTCCAGATCTACTGTTTCCACCACCTGCCGGGAAGGGCTATGTTGGCTGAGGTGTCTGAAAATGGCAAAGAGGTGTTTCAGGCTTGGGGATGCAAGGGCGAAGGTGGGGAGGGGGTGGGGGAGGGAGTGGCCTTGCCAAATGAACCGTGGGCACAGCCCAGGGCCCCACAGGGTTTCTGTGTAGGACGCACAAACCCCAGGGTAGGAACACAGGTTAGCAAGGCCAGGACCTCGGGGCGCCTAACACACTGACGCACACAGATCACCCTCCCTCCAGAGTGTTACCTTCTGCTCACTGGCCCCGTGGCACCTGCTGTGTACACGTTCTTTAACCATGACCTGGCGGTGGGCGTTACGCCCCTATGGCCTCACCCCAGCTGGCACTAGGTCACTCCTTGGCTCCCGGAGGGACTGACCTTTACTCTACATCTCTCTCCCTCCTGCCACCCTCTCCCGGCCCTCCACTCTCCCAGGCATTTTCAAAATTGAGGACTCCGCCCAGGTGGCCCGACTGTGGGGCATCCGCAAGAACCGTCCAGCCATGAACTACGACAAGCTGAGCCGCTCCATCCGCCAGTATTACAAGAAGGGCATCATCCGGAAGCCGGACATCTCCCAGCGCCTCGTCTACCAGTTTGTGCACCCCATCTGAGCTGCCGGCCGCCGGGTCCAAGGCCTGGAACTCACTCTCATCAGGCCTCCCACGTGCCTGCTCTTGCCTCCATCAGACTCTGGGTTGGGGGACAGAGCATCCTCTGGAATCGGAGTCCAAGGTCAGGGAGAGGACCGCTCCCCACTCCCAGGGGCACAAACGAACTCGCCGGGGTCCAAGGAGGGCCTGACGGCTCATCTGCCAGGTTCTGGAGGTTGGAGGGAGCCAGGGCTGTACTCTGTGTTCACTGCTCCCCAGAGAAGGCCCTCCCTTCACCCAGCTCTGACTCCAGAGCAGAGCCGACAGAATGGCAGTGACTTGGCTCAAGGCCACTCTCAGTCCAGTCCTCGCTGTCACCCACTCTGTAGCATAGCTCACATGGTGCTGCACCATGAGTTGGGGACCCAAGAATGGGTAATAAAGATCCTAGAGACCTGACATGCCTGTAGTCTGCAGTGAGTGAGTGGCACAGGCCCGGGACATCAGTGCTCAAAATGGTGGTGTTGGAGGCTGGAGTAGTCAAGGGAGGCTTCCTGGGGGAGGTGGCACTGAGCTGAGTCTAAAAGGAAAGCATTCACTGATTGGCAGGTGCTTATAGGAGAGAGAATGCGTGCCCAAGGCCAAGTCACCCCATCTCCCCCAAGACTGAAGAAAAAGGGTGCTCCTCATCCTCTTCTGCTATAGATGGGGCTTTCTGCCTGGGCTGGGTCAGAAGCTGAACCTCCTGTGAAAGCTCTTTAGGAATTTTGTCTCTGCTTGGCCAATCCATGGGCCCCCAGGGTAGGGCAACAGCGATTTGATGGGAAGGGAGAGAGCTTCAGCGCACCCCTGTGGGATGCCGACTCTGCAACGAATGTGGTAGAAGAGAGGTTGGCTGTCTCTTGGCTTCTCTCTCCTGAAGCGCCAAGCCACAGACCTCAGCATGCCTCTGCAAAGCTGTGAGTCTTGTGAATGGGGTTGAGCAGTGCAAGCTCATGAAGGGGAAAAGGGAAGGGCCCGGTGTGTCTATATCGGGAGAGGTCGGGGCCCCCACTTCTTCATGCTTCCCTCACATCTGTTCACCCAACGCATGAGTCCCGAGGACTGACTTTTGCTAGATGCTTCCACTCGTTTTTGCCATGTGCCTTCCCAGAGAAACTTCCAAGGAAGCTACTCCCTCATGTTGCTGATGATTAAACTGAGGCCAGAGCACTTAAGCGACTTGCTCACAGTCACCCAGCCAACCAGGGGAACAGAGCCCACTAGGACAGGACTGTCTTACCCCTCCATGCCTCTGGCTCCCTCCACAACTGGTCAGCACCCTGAGCCTGTGAAGACAGGCTTCCAGGACACAGGCCGGTGCCACCCAGGCCTTCAAGGGTTAATCACTTCCCTGTAGTCCAACTTCTGCCCCCAGCAACTTTATTGTGTCCAGAAGAAAGTTTACTCCTGGCAGTGAGCAAACAGCATCTTGGCATCTGTCAACTGGGACTGGACCAGGAGTTGGTGGGGGAGGGCTGCCCCAGGCCTGTGCCTCCCTGGGCCCCTGCTGCCTGCCCACCCCTGGGGAGAGGGGAGACTGGGACCCTGGCCAGAACCCAGCTGGGCTTTGCGAAACTGGTTCTGTCTCCTCCCTACCTGAACTAAGTCCCTAGAGCCACCTGTTCATGTCTCTCCTGGGAAGAGACATGAAGAGGCCTGGATCTCTGGCAGATCCTGGGTGGGAGGAAAGGGAGGGGAATTAGGGGTGAAGAGTACGTAGCTGGAGCTGCTCCAGAAACAACTAACCAGACTGGGGGAGCTGTGGCCCAGGGTGGGGACACAGTAAGACTGATGGCAGGGCTGGGACTGGGCCTGGGATGCACTGGCCTGCCCTGGAAGAGACTGACTGGGGATGGGGAGGTGGAACGGGGCAGGCCGGAGCAGGGACTTTGGGGTTCAGGTGGGGCAGCTCCCCAGTGTGCGACCTGCCACGAGGCCACTTCCCTGGCGGGCACGCCCATGCAGCAACACCTGTGTGCCGGCAGCAAGCCTCAGAGGCCCCTCCCTCCTCTGTGCGCCTGCTGGGCAGAGCCCTTCGCTGGGTGTTCCCTGACGCTGTCCTCAGGACACTACCTGCAAGGCACCCCATAACTGCTCGGCGGAGCAGCGTGGCAAATTATACAAGGCAAACTTTTTGTCTGTTTGGCTAAACCCTGGGGCTTCATTTGGAGATGGACTGGGGGGGATTAAAGGACATGAGACAGAGAACAGATTCAACCCCCTTCTCAGCCTTTTCTCCCTGCCCTGAGGCTGGAAACAGCAGGGAAGAGGGACTATAGTGTGCTTCGGTATGTTTGAGTTAAGGGTTTGTGTCAGGGCGAAAGGATCCTCACAGAAACATCTAACCAGACTGGGGGGAGCTGAGGCCCAGGGTGGGGACACAGTGAAACTGATGGCAGGGCTGGAACTGGGCCTGGGGTGCATGGCCTGCCCTGGAAGAGACTGGCTGGGGATGGGGAGGTGGGACAGGGCAGCCCAGAGCAGGGACTTGGCAAACAAGACCTGGGGCTGGGGCTGGTAAGGCAGAACAGACAGCCCAGGGCCCCGGTTCTGCCCCGGCCCCCGATAACTCCTCCTTGAGGAACTCTTGCAGGAATCCCAACAGAAAACTGTCAGAGGTCAGGCAGGGCACAGGTCTGGCCTGGTGTCAACCACAGGGAGCCTGGGGCTGGTGACAACCAAGGTCCACAGGCCTCAGCAGACACGTTTAGAAGCTTGCTTTAAAAACTGAAACCTGGCCCTCCCTGGTGGCACAGCGGGTTAAAGCACAGCACTAAGAAGCTAAAGCCACTTCACCTTGAGTTCGATCCCCACCTGCCCTGGAGGCGACCACATGGTGCGGCAGACCTCTCCTGGCCTGCCTGCTCAGCAGTGTACTTCGAAGATCTGCCTGTTCTGCTCCCCACTCTGTCTCTGGTGAATCCTCTCACTGCCCCTGTATGGCCTGTATGCACAAATAAATAAATCTTTTAAGAAAGAAAAAAACCTGAAACCCATTGGGGGTCAAATTTCATCCTTGAACGATGAAGTTCTGGGTCCTGGAAGCCCCAGCTCTCTAGGTCAGTGCTTATCACCAGGTACCTGGAACCCTGGAGGCCTCAGGAGCCTGAGTGTCCAGTGCAACCTTCCACGGAGACATGCAGATGCAGGCATTGGCCAACGGTGGCCGGTCGGACAGCACCGCAGTGTTGGCCCCCCACCACTTACGCCCACCCCCGCCCCGGCAGCCAGCCTAACCCCAGATGGCTCTCAGAGGGTTCGAAGGACACGCGAGACTCAAGATGACAACATCCAGCCAGGTTGACACAGTTCTGGATTTTATCCACAGTCATACAATCACAACTTAGATATATATATATTTGTATTTATATACCTTTAAATTACACAATCATGTACAAAACAGGTGCATTGCTGAGACCACAGCACTTCTCGGAGTTTCACAAGTGTCGGACTAATGGAGTCAGGAAGCCGAGGGCGGCGGACGGCGGGTGGGGGCAGCCCGGGCTCCCCGCAGAACCAGGCTGCACGACGGTGGTTAACTGGGGACAAAACACTTTACTCGCCGAGCCCACAGGGCGGCCCGTGCAGCATCGAGGGTGTGGGCTGGGGGGTGGGGGGCTACAGGCGGCACGGCGAGGGGTGCAGCTCCCACGCTCGATCTTGCGTGCCTGACACCAGCACTGACAATGGGGCTGGGCCCCTGGAGCTCAGGGGATTTCTAGGTGGGAGACCCTCCCACCCCGAGGTCCTGAGGAGCCTGGAGACTGAGTGGTCCCAAAGGGGCCACAGAGGTGGCTCTCAGAAGCAATGGAGTTTTAAGTCTGCCCCGGAGTGGGCAGCCAGAGTCCAGAGGGGGACAGGCCTGGGGTCCAGCCAGGGCTGCAGCCCCTCCCAGGTGCTGAGGAGCCACTGGCACAGAAAGGGGGAGCCCAGGCCCCAAGGTGCAGCTGTGTGGGCTTCCTACCTTCCAAGGACACGTGGTGAGGGGCAGAGGCCCCAAGCCCAACTCCTGCCTGGGGGAGAGGCTGAAGAAGCGTTTACTCTGGAGTTGGGAGTGTTAAGGGCTTGGGAAATTTTGCTTCTGAGGGGTCTAGGACACATCTCTGGCTGCAGCAGAGGCCCAGAGAGCAGACAGGGATGAGAAAGAGAGTGATGGGGAAATCTGCGTCTGTGGGATGCCATTAGTCCCACCCTCCCACTTCCCTGGCCCTGAGGGAGGCCTGCGCCAGCTCAGGCCCCTGCCAGAATCTTCCAGGATCTTCTGTGCCCACATGAACAGGGTCAGGACTTTGAGGTTAGGATCTAAGATCATTTATCATGGGCTGTTGGGAGAAGAAGCAGGGAGTAAAGGAGGGTGGGGGTGGGGGTGGGGTGGGGGGCTGGGCTGTAAGCTGTCTTGAGCTGGAGGCCCAGTGATGCAGGGAGGGGAGAGACCTGCAGTATCCAGGCCTCCAAGTGGCATCAGCTGTGGGAGGACTCAGGGCCTCGCCTAAGAGGCCCTCCTCCAGTCATTCCCCACCTCTTGGGGTCTTATCCTGCCCTGACCTGCTTCCCAGCACCCTCCCATGTGAGAGGCTGGCACCTGATAGATAATCCAGCACCACTCTTTCTCCAACCAGAGAGATACTCTGGGATTGCCTTTCCCTCCGCCCACCCCCAAAAGTCCCTTAACTGAGACACTGGCCTTGAGGAAGTAGAAGGACTGCCAGCAGGGAGGGGAGTTGGGGGGCAGGGGTGGGGGTTGCTGCAGGGCTATGGGTGGGGACAAGGAAGAAAGCCCAGTGGCTGTCCAGCTCCTAAAGGCCAGGGCTCCTCCTCCATCTCTCTAGCCAAACCCATGCCTCTCCCACTGGCTGCAGGCTCTCCCCTGAGAGTCTCAGGATGGAGGTGTATCACCCCAGCACCCCCAGGAGAGAAGGATAGGAGACCTTGCAGGCACAAGGCTTGGCCTCAGGGAGGTGGAAGCTGAGCCCAGTGATTCTATGGTTGCAGATAGACAAGGAGAGAGGAAGTGGGGGGTGGTGGCCAAGATGCCCTCCTCCCCAGGAAACGGGAGAGGGCTGCTACTGTTGCTGGCTTTGCCCTGGGCTTTGGGGTCCCTCCCCCGGCCTGAGGTGGGGTCTCTGCTATTTACCGAGGAGAGTGGCTCCAGGGAAAGAGTCTTTGCCCTACTTTCTAACTGTTGGGACAAAGGGTCTCGCAGCTGAGCCTACCATGGTTCCCCCTCATTCCCCTTCCTGTACCCTGCCACTGTCACCAATTCCAGTTGACCCTTTTCATGTCTGGTGGAGTCCAGGGACCCCTGGAAATCTCCGTGGGAGAAGAGGGCCACCATTCCCTCTTTAGCCCTGGGTGGGGGGGGGACGACTAGGAGATAAGGGTGCTCCCCAAGGCAAAGTGGAAGACTAAAGAGTGGGAAATCCTCCCTTCTCTGGTCTGGAAGCCAGGCCTTTGAGAGTGGGGTGGTGGCAGGAGGGAGAAAAGGTGAGGTGGGGAGGGGTGGTGGTCAAAAAACCAGGCCCGCAGAAGGAGGGGTGCTGGCAGCCTGTGGTGGAGAAGGAGGGCTGGGGTAAACTGGGGAGTGAGGCAGAGTAGAAGGGTCCAGGAGACATCCCTCAGGGCTCAGGAGGCTCTTTGGTGGGATCTAAAGAGCGGATTTTGTGAAGTCTCTCTTGGACTAAGTTCTAAGCCCCTCGCCTACCCTGGGGTCATCACCCCAAGTCCCACCACCCTGGCCTCCAGGAGGCCCTGCAAATGCTCTGTCTCTGTATTTTTTGATTTGTTCTGTTTTGACTTTTAAAAAAATAAAAGCTTGATCGGAAAATATGTCTGGAACTCTATGGCGAGGGCAGGGGGTCAAGAGGTCAAGACTGGGAAAGGAGAGGAGGTGCTGGGCAAGGAGTGAGGGGTAGTGTGTTGGGGGACAGGGCAGCTAGATGGCCTCCACGTAGTTGGCGGGATAAAGGCCCAGCTGCCCGCTGTCCAGCCGCCCGCGGCACCAACCCTGCTCGTCCTCCTCACCCAGCTTGGTGAGCTCATCTCCTGGGAAGGGGACACAGAGAAGAGATAGTTGACCCGGGTACACAGAAGACTGCAACCCTATTTCCACACTGCTATGCAAACCCTCCAATGCTATCTTGTCAGGCAGATTCAAACCCTGACTCCTGACAGGTCAGCCACAATAGACACCCACACAATCCCTGGCCACATCACTGATCTGGGTCTCACCTCCCCATCCCCTAGTTTCACCTAGCCTTGGCCATGCCCATGCTCCAGGCCCCGCCCCAGGTATAGGCCCCACCTCCCTGCCCTCAGGCCCCGACCCTGTCCTCAGGCCCCACCTCCCTGCCCTCAGGCTCCACCTCCCTGTCTTCAGACCCCGCCCCTGTCCTCAGGCCCCACCTCCCTGCCTTCAGGCCCCACCTCCCTATCCTCAGGCCCCACCTCCCTGCCCTCAGGCCCCACCTCCCTGTCCTCAGGCCCCGCCCCTGTCCTCAGGCCCCACCTCCCTGCCC